GGCAAGGGGTGAGATGTTGAAAAACAATTGTTTCAATTATTTTACTATTAAGGCCCTTACCCTAATGAAATAAAAGTGTCTCTACCCAGCACTCCGGCAAATAGTGGCTGCCTACTTGAGAAGCCGAGAGCTCAGTCCTTTGGGACGCTACGCAGGGCCGGCTAACGCAGAAGGCCACACAGTTCCATGTGTCACAAGGGTTGCTGTGTCTAACGGCAGATGTTTAGAGACCTGACAGAGAACCTCATCCAAACACGAGGATGCGCCGTCACAGCAATCCCAGCGCTGAGCCGTGGCGGCTTTCACAGTCAGAGCAGGAAGGGTCCACAGCTCAGCTTTCAGGGCTCGTGTGGCACTTCTTATACATCAGGAAAGGGCAGGGCAGCCCTTGCCGAACTGCAACGGGCGGTGGTCAGCAAAGACGGGACTGCCATGCTCAAGAACAGGCAGCGTTCTGTCTGCCGGCCATCTTTTCGACGGCATCCTCTTGCAACTCTTATTGATTGCCAACTTCTTCAAGCCAGGCTTCCAATGCCTCACATAACAACAGTGCCGCACGAAATGCCGGCCGAACTGCCAACCAATGGCCCTCCTGGAGAGGCCCATTGCCACAGGTCCGGACATTGGCACGGACGTGCAGGGAACCCTGACATGCCAAAGGAGTCAGAGCGCAAACTATACATACTCCGAACGATCACAATACATTTGTGACTCTGAGTGTCTGCGGTTGATATGACTTCGAGTGTTACAATACATTGGGTGCCGACGTTGGGGCGAAATCCGAGACACAAGTGAATGCGAAGTAGGTTGGTGTGAACACGAAACTGCCTGCTGCATACGGCCGGTCGAAGGTCAGATGTTTAGTGCCAATCCCTTGGTGCTCTGCACGACGGACTTAGGGATCAGTCTTTGTATAACACTATTCACAAGCTGAACATCACGGATCAAACACGACCCTCTTCAGCCGCAAGTGCAGAGCGGCACCAGTCTTAATTCTGGAGTCTGTACGAACTGTTAAATTTGCGTCAGACGCGCGATGGATCTCGACCTTGACGAGGCGTGTATGGAGGGGACGTTGGAAAGTTACTGTTCTGATGCTGGTACTGATGGCGCTACTGCCTCAAACACAACCCAAACGACTTCTCTAGTGTTCTGCTGCTGCCGATCCCTTTCGCCTCATGTCAAAGCCCAATTAATACACAGATCGACTTCTGTCGATTTTAATACAACACGACATGTGTTTGTGTTTGGGCTCGTTGGTACACGAGTATTTATGGGAATTGGGTTGTACTGCGGATTCAGAAAACAGCACTGCCAATGGACACGAATCGTACCGCTAGCAACTAATTACAGCAATTACTTACCTCCTCCTTGAAGAACTAACTGCTACTAATATAGGGGCCCTAAGAATTAGAATAGGGTTTGGGGACCCATTATACTATACTTATAACAAGGAACCCCACAATAGTATAGGTAACTATCAAGGCGCCTATATTAGCTGACACTACTGACGGGCTGGTACTGCCGGGCCCCAGAGCCGCGAGCCGACACAAACCCTAGTGACACTTGAGCTGGGAATTTTTGGGCAAGGGAACTCATGTTGGGGCCTGGCTAATTAAAGGGTATATTATACTATAATTAGCATAAGGAGCCCTCAAAATAGTATTGGTAATGATTCAGGCCCCTTTATTACCACTGTTTGTTTTCTTGTAGCAGCAGGAGCGCTTAAGACGCAACACCCGAAACCAACCCTGCAAAGGTCACAATCGAAAGCTGGGAGGTCGAGCTCTTGACCACTCAGTTAAAACCCGAAACCTCCATCCCTTAAGAGCCCAATTGGTCCCCAACCGAACAGCTTCGTCTTGATCCAGTCCATCCCGACGAGGGCGCGATTCCTTGTTGCAGATTATTGATGTTGGCCGCTAGAAGAGAAATCCCTGCCACAACTACATACGTCAGGGCAGGGGCTGGGATAAAGGGGCTTTGGACCTTTTGCTTCAGCATTGCTCGAGGACAGTCTGCCAGGCAGGGTTCAGGACACTGCTGCATTGCTACTTCAGTGGGCTATTGTCATGGGGCTGAAGGACTGAAAGTGATTTAGTGACTTGCTCTGTTCAGCTCATGCTCGATCTGGAGAAGTCTGGGCTCCAGCAAAGAGCTGCAGCTTCTCATGAGTTGAATTTCGAAGAGGGCCGTCAAACCTGCAGCCCTGAGCCTGTTCAAGTGCTTGCCGGCAAGATGCTTCCAGCTCATCTGCGCGGAAGTCTCGTATGCCTCTGCAGGGATGTATGCCCAAACACTCCGAGATGAAGTAAGCTGGCGGACGCTGTTTGTACACAGCACGTCTCAGAGCTTACTACTTCGACTTCTCAAGCACATCCATTGGAAAAGTGGTTGCAAACAAAAACGGAGTGACGATGCACATCGAACATCCAAATTGCATGATATGGACCCAAAAGAAGCAACAATGAACGCACTGCGGACGGCTATACGCTAAGACTAAGACCTACTACTGCTTCCAAGAAGGTGCCGAACTGACGAACACAGTCGCTTACAACTTACAACCCTTCGGGGCCCACCCGAGCATGAACCCTTAAGCCTTAAAGCTTAAGGCTTGGGGTTTAGCCCTCAAGTTCTGGAGCCAGTGGCCAGCGAGACACCATACCGAGCGCAACAAATCTCGCTAAATGAATACCACAGAGGCATGCTCTTATATACGCAGTGGGGAAGACGCAACTTCACTAGCCCAATGCAGGAAAGCGGCGGCAATACTGCCAACGGTACCGTTATGCACGTTACAATGTTATATGTACATTACCACTGCTGCTTCCTAAGGCAGCAGCTGCCGCTAGTACTAGTAGTAGCAGCAGCAGCAGCAGCAGTAGTAGGCGCAGTAGGCGCAGTAGTAGTAGTAGTAGTAGTAGGTAGTAGTAGTAGTAGTAGTAGTAGTAGTAGTAGTAGTAGTAGTAGTAGGAGTAGTAGGAGTAGTAGTGGTCGTGGCAGTAGTAGTGGAAGTGGTAGTGGTAGTGGTAGTGGTAGTGGTAGTGGTAGTACTAGTAGTAGTAGTAGTAGTAGTAGTAGTAGTAGTAGTAGTAGGAGTAGGAGTAGGATTAGTAGTAGTAGTAGTAGTAGTAGTAGTAGTAGTACAGTAGTATGGTAGTAGTATAGTAGTAGTAGTAGTAGTAGTAGTAGTAGTAGTAGTAGTAGTAGGTAGTACGTAGTACGTAGTAGTACGTCGTAGTACGTCGTAGTAGTAGCAGTTGTAGTAGTAGTAGCAATAGTAGGAGGTAGTAGTAGTAGTAGTAGTAGTAGTAGTAGTAGTAGTTGGTGGTAGCAGAGTACTATTACTACTACGACGACGACTGACGACTGCCTCCACTACCACTACTTCCCCTACCCCTACCCCTCTAGCCCTGCCACTACCACAGCCACTATGGCCACGCCAACGACTGACTGCTGCTACAGGCGGGTGTGATACGGACGCCTTCCACGCCACGCCGGCCAAGGGCCCACTCACCGGGCCAAGAATTGGCAAGTCCTCACGATTTGAGAGTTGGAGAGCTGCGCTTAGGCTTCAAAGTGAAAATCGTATTGTAGGGTTGCGGAAGTCGCAGGTCAGGATCTGAACCACCTGTCCCGAAATTACAGATGACCTCAAGTCCTGACTCATGACTGAAGTAGTACTCTGCAACCTTACCCGGGCACCCTCCGAGCCCGCAAGTCTAGCCCACATACAGGGGGGTGCAAATGAAATACTGTAGCGTGCTTCGGGCAGGACATTTCAAGAATAATTGTGCTGTACTGCATGCGAAAAACTTCGATCCATTCGGAAATCTCCGCCTTACAACTTTTCAAGCAGAAAGCTGGGGCGACTGCAAAAGCTGCATGGTCGCTGCCCAAATAGGCCAAAGTGCCTCCGCCACTTTGCCGGCTTCAAGCTCAATCGACTGTTGAGGCTGGCGTCTCTGGGGTGCACTGTGACATGCTCAAGGCAAAATGCGAGAATCTGCATGGTGGGCTCGAGTTCTCATGCACTCCAACATGCCGGGTGCTGATCCTTGCGTTCGGTCACTTCCTCTACAACGTTATCAAAAGCTTGTTTCGCCTGTGAAGGGTGAGTTCACTGCCAGCATCAGGATCGCACACATGACAATGCTAGGGATGTCCGCAGTGTTGGCTGCAGAAGAAACTGTTCTTGGAGGATGCATCCATAGTTCAAGCACGATTCCATGCCTACGCCTACGTATCCTCGAAAAAGTGCACGCGGACTAGTTCAACATCAGCCTGACGTCAGCTCAAGCCTTCTCAAGATACCTCCAAACCTAAACCCGTGTCAGCTGTACATACTGAGACGGCGGTAGACAAGTCCTACTGCCAATCTTGATACCAACAGAGCACTGCGCCGCTTGACTCGAACTTTCTGGCATCAGCTACACACACGACCGAAACCGATGAAATCATGGACACAGAGGCATGACCACCTTTGTGGAAGTAGGTAAAGGGCTCGTGCTCATCGCGGAAAGCGCGGTAGCTCTCCTCTATCGGCAAGCCGATCGGGAGGGGCAGGTTACATAGAGAGCAAGCACGCTGGATACCTTTAGCAGGGAAGTGATGCATCTTCAGGCTTCTCAATTCTGGCAGATACAAAACTTGGGGTAGGGTGTTGCGGAGACGGATCCGGGCTAGCTCATCTCTGCTGCACGTCATGGAGACCAGGATTTCGGTCGCTGCATGTCGGAGTAGATGGCCTTTAACTAGCATTGGCTCAGAAATGCTCAGAATGTGGTTCAAGCTCCGTGCTCAATTCCGGGCAGGCTCCCGGTCGCCATGAATGAGGCCAGAGGCGAAAACCTCGGTAAGGCTTTGCAGGACGGGTCTTTTCCGCTGTGAGAAACAGAAGTCTGACCTGCATCAACACAACAGTCCCGCCCCGCAGCTTACATCACAACGCCGACTATGTCAGACTTATCCTGAGGTCCCCAAGTCGTACACCCGAAACCCTAAACCCTATAAACCCTGAAACGAAGACTCCATGGACGAAACCGAGGGGCCTTGGCCAAGTACTGCCCTTGCTGGGCTGCCACCTCTCCAGGCTTACAGCACTTCCGTAGCCCAACAGCCAGGGCTCAGGGATTAAGTAGGGCTAGGCAGAAAGAGTTTCAGGTGTAAGGAGCTCACGAACTCTCGACACTTTCTGTGTGACTGTGGCTGGCATCTGGCACACCATGCAAATGTGTCACCATTCGTTTGCCTGGCTCCTCATTTACACTACTTGCCAAGCACCATGCATTGAAGTTCCCAGTCCTCATGCTAAAGACACCCATCACTGAACCAGCGTCCACATGACGGAGTCGACTGCCCACAGTTAGTGCCAGCGAGAGACCTGTGCGGTTGGGGGAAACGTCTCCAGCGTCTTGTGAATGATCTTCAACAGGTCTTTGAATCCTGAAAAGGTCAGTACCGCGATCTTGCAGGACCAGACCGGCTTAATCAACACCTTGTATGTTACCTTCGTCCTCCTCCTCGTCCCGAGCAGCAGCAACAGCACTAATTAGTAGCAGCAGTATAACAGTAGCAGTCGCAGTACCAGTAGGAGTAGTAGTAGTAGTAGTAGTAGTAGTAGTAGTAGTAGTAGTATAGTAGTAGTAGTAGTAGTAGTAGTAGTAGTAGTAGTGGTAGCAGTAGTAGGAGTGACAGCAGCACTAGCCCTACTGTGCATGAAGGAAACCGCTTTTAGGATGCGTCAAGTCGTTTCACCCCGCGCCCATTTCCTAACATTGTCATGAACATGGGGCTTTGCAAGATCGTTCCAATCACATGAACCCTGCCACCGCCCCACTAAGGTCCATCGTCAATATCAAAACAAGATATCAAAAAAGGGGTGCGGGGTCGTGTCTTGGAAGCGTACGCGAATCAGAATATGCAGGTGGTGCAAGATTTCCTCCATCCACCGTAGCACTAGAGTGCCGGGAATTTAGAACAACTATTTGTTTGAACCCTCACTTGAAGGGAGCAAGATTGCCAGCAATCTTGCAATCTTGGTCCAAATGGTAAACTAGTCGGCGAGCGGGTGGGGCAAGTGGGGCAAGATGACACAGATTACCAAGATTTCAAGATGACCAGCGGCCGACCAAGATGACCAAGATTTGCTCTACAAGTAGTTGTTCTAAATTCCCGGAACAATGTACTAGTAGTAGTAGTAGTAGTAGTAGTAGGAGTAGCGGTAGTGGTAGTGGTAGCGGTAGTGGTAGTGGTAGTGGTTGTCGTAGTGGTAGTGGTGGCAGTAGTAGTAGTAGTAGTAGTGGTAGTAGTGGTAATGACTGTTTTTGTTGTTGTTACGGGAGGAGCAATCGGAGCAGCAGCAGGAACAGGAGCAGTGGTGATGACGATGGTGGTGGTCACTTATTGTCGAAACTTTGTCGGCCATTGGTGGCACATGTAGCATTCGGGAAGGGGTGCGCGTATATATGTATATATATATATACATATGTATATATATATATATACATATATATATGTGTGTGTGTATGTGTTATAAATAAATAAATATATATATATATATATATGTCTAGATATGCGTTTGTACATATACATATAAGTGTGTGTGTGTGTGCGTGCATGTGCAGATATAAACACACACACACATCTATCTATATATATATATATGGATGTAGATATATATATATATATAATACATACACGTACATTTGTATGTGTATATATATATATATATCGTTTTTGCTTATTTAACTTCTTTATGTACAAATATAATAACTATGTTTACGTATGAACAAGTACACGGAACATGAAATAGCCATGCTTAATTTGATGGTTCGCCTTGAACCATGAGAAGGATGCATGCAGCAAGAAGGCTTTTTTCTGAGTGGGCGCCTTGAAGCATATTGCATTGTAGAGCCGAGGGTCCATGGATGGGCGGAAAAGTTGACAAATATAGCACGGTCGGAGAGCTTCCCAGGACTGACGGTGCTTTAATCACCCATCTGCCTTCCAAAGTGATGTAGTCTCTCTGCAACACCTCGGCCTCATCAAGATCCTGCTCAATCTCCTGGCCCAGGCAACGTTGAAGCGATGTGCATGCCAATGGCTTCAGGTAGTTTTCGAGTCTTGTATCAAGCCGAGGGAGCAAAGTCAGCAGAGATGCTGCAATTCTTATGAAAAAGCTGGAGGGCCTCATGTCGAGCTTCTGATTCCTGAGGTTTTTGGATGAGGTGAATGCCGACTTCGTCTTGGAGCCGAAGGTAGCGTTAATCAACAACAAGCCGCTTACGACGTGATGAAAACTGTCATTCTGTGCAAGCTTTCACTGTTAAACTCACCCTTGATGACATTTTCATATGCCAGTTGTGGCCAGAATCGCAACCCGGCACAGCAGTGATTGTGAAGAAATTCGGCCTTCTGCAGGCTCCTAGTTACTAGTATCAAGACTCACTCGCAACGTCCTGCCTCGTCGTGGACATCAGTTTGAAACCCGTGAATATTCTGTAGCAAGAATGGCAATCATGCCAGCCATAACAAAATTTGTAGGATGGAACAAAAGAAGCCTGCAGCAACACACATCATAAGCGCAATATTCAACCTCAGATCTGCGCAAGGAGAGGCCCGAACAGGCCCCTCCATACCTTTTTGTTCCCGCACTGCAGAGCACAGACGAGCACGCGGCTTAGAGCCGACATGCAGAGGAACAACCGTGGCAAAACGTGGCAAAAACGGAGCACCACACACAACAGTCTGCTTGCGATCGATTCAACGATTCCTGCCCGAGATGTGGACATATCATATTCTCCCATATTGCGAGCGGTTCTCAGATAGCGCCTCGATCATTGTCGCAATGTCGCATCTTAGCCATACTCGCTATAATTGTGACGTTACATACCTTCATAACAGGTTAGTAACTAGATGCTGGTAGCGCGGGGGAGCAAGATATAGGCATCCTACATGCCTGCAGATGCGTGCGACAATGTCTCAGTCGCAGAAAAATTAAGAAAGGCACAGGGCTATTCCCAGCAATCCGATGCTACACACCTACATACTACGAGAAGAAAGGGCACAGCCACTGCAAACCTACATACTACGAGAACCATCTCAAGCTTCGGCAGCAGCTCGCAATCCTGGAGGACCTCTCACTGCTGTTGTGCTCATTGCACTCATTGCTTCCGAGCTGCGACTGGCCTCTCATCAATAAAACTGCATCTCGAAGACCCAGTACTTTCAGCTGGCCGCGTAACAGTTCGATGACTTCACAGTGTGACCCATCCTGATCTTTCTCTGAGGCAAGATCTACTGCAAGAACCCCTCGCGAGGTCCTCTGATTTGGATCTGCCCCTGCGGCAAGCAACATGTGAACAATGTCAGCATCCCCAATCTGCGCAGCGATATGAATGGGATAGACAGCATCATGGAAAAAGCAGCAACGAGTGGAAAGCCTAGGCTCTGCCACGTCCGCGAAGTGATGCTCCGACAAAAACCTCTGTAGCTTCTGCTGCCTGTGCTGCCGCATTCCCTGGCGCTTTGATGACTGGCTTGTGCGTGACCGGGACCGTTCCTGGTTCTCGCTTCCCGAACTTGCTGAGCTGATGTCAGTCAAGGGAGAGCTCCCAGGAGAAGAGCATGTGCTGGCGGAATCTGCCTTAAGAAGTGCATCTGCATGCCCGTTCTCCGAAGGCGCCTTGGGCGCTTTCGGGCTGGCGCAGCCCACACTACCAGGTAGCGTGCCTTCAAGCATGGCCGGATGTCTACACAAGTAGCCTCTGAGCCAAGGGCACGGCCACGCCACAACCAGACCAGCAACAATCAAAAGAACAGCAAAACGAAAGCCCCTGTAATTACCGAAAATATTGCCCCTCTACTGTAGTAGAGTTGCTGCTGCTGGAAGGGTCATTTCCAGACGATACAATCGCAAAGCTGGCAGGCACCTGACACAAACGGCGCACCGACAATGTGAGCCTCCCAAACAAGAACTCTGAACTCTGTCTACCGTACAATTTCTGGTGACTGTGCATGCCAGATCTTGCCAGCTTTGGCGTCGCAACGCTTCTACAATCAGTTTATAAGGCTAAGCCCACGACACCAAAACCCCTCAAAAATGGCTCAAGCACCTGCGCATTGCGCTTCTTGATCCGCTCGGTTACCCGCTGTCCCAAGGAGTAAGTGCGCTGCCACGCCACCTCCACGTACAGGATCACGGGCAATCATAGGGTGAACGAAATGGATTTATGACTACCGGCGAAAAGGACGCATCACGCATCCCTGATGCAAGTGCCTGCAGCCCCAATCAACAACTGACCATGAACCTTCAACCAAGCTTTTCGGGTTTGCAGTATCTCATCGATCGTTTGACTCTGAGATTTCCGGGGTTTCGCCAGTACATACTTCTATATAACAAATGGGAGTTTCAGAAAATAAGGGACTATAAAAGAGCTATACAGAGCTAACCGTTGGAGTCCTCGTTGTAAGGACACCTAAATAAGTGCCCGGAACCCGAATGCTACGTCTGTTGTGGCCGCAGGTTTAGACGTCGATTCCGTTGTACGCGGCACCATTTGTCCTGTGTATCACGGCTGGGGAGCATTGCCACCAGGTAGACTAACTGCGCAGACCCTATTTGTTCGGCGGGGTTCGCCCGTCCGAAACCGCTGCAAACGCATGGGACGGGATGTTGACCGTCCCGCCTGCTCTTTCCAAACCTTTTTCCCAAACATCTTCGTCATCTCTGCAAAGGTGTCCGTCAAGTCGTCGCTGACTGCCTTGCCACTTTGCTGGCTGATGCTTGCTTGTAGCTCAGAGCTCTGGTGGTGCCAAATCAAAGATTCAACGCATCATCCTCATCATTCTGGTGTTCACTGCTGAACCACTGTCGAGAAATCGTACGATGTTAACATCTCGCGACCTCTGTACGTCTTAAACTCCGCTGCAGAGTGCGATGCCAGCATTTACACTACACTACACCCAAGCTCAACGGATCTTGGAGAAATCCCAAACCCTAAACCCTAAACACTCAAAACCCCTAGAAACAGCTAAACCCGAAGCTCTAAACTCCTGAACCAAAGAGTGCCTCCTCCAAGTAGTCAGCATAGGCCTCAAATTGCGGGTGGCCTCCGATCCGACTCAGATCTCCCCTTGAAGCTTCAAGCTTGGGGGGTGTAGGGTTTCGACACACACACCTACACACACACACACACACCCACACACACACACACACACACACACACACACACACACGCACAAGGCTGGCATGGCAAAGGAGGTCCCAGCTTGCTACATGAACATCGAAACCGACTGGCTTAGGGGTTTAGGGTTTTGCGGGTTGAGGCGCTCACACTCGGACAGGCCAGGCGAGGCTTTTTGAGGGTTTCAGCACGGTTTCGGGGGTTTAGGTTTTTTTGACTCTCGCAACTCGCACGGGGCAAGCAAGGCTTCACCACAGCGAAGATTCGTCAACAGGCTTTGGGGTCTATAGGGTTTAGGGCTTTTATGATGGCCTGACTCTAGGATCAGCCCCGACATCCCTTGGTCTGCGCAGATCCCCTCCAAACCTTGCAGAGTACAACCTAGGACCTAGCCCGTGGACCACTTTGACAGAAGCAGAATTCTCTTGCAGAAATCTGTGTCCTGCTGTTGTTGTTGTGGTTGCTGTTGCTGTTGCTGTTG